CAATCATTATATGTGGAAATTGGGATATAAGTATTCACTAGCAATTCCAAATATTTATAAACTATAAACAATTATAATTATTAACTGTTTAATTAACAAATAAAGTATTTCCTAAGAAGGATTAATTAGGCTTTTCTAGCTTCCTTAAAGGTATTTTCAAGAGGGCAACTTCAAAATTTCATTTTTGAGTTTTGTTTTATTTGAAACTTCAAAATATTTTTTTCATTGCAGTTTAGTCTCTGTAATTCTATATTTCACAAATAATTTTAATGAATTATGATCAATAGTGAAAACTATAATATAGAGTATATATTTTAATGGAGAAAAACAGGCTCAAACTTCATAAAAAAATCATAATCTTACAAAAATATGAAAGAACACAAAATAATAATTTTGTTTGTTGTATCTCTATGGAATATTAATTGATGTTTATATAATAAGATATTTGTCTCTGTTGTTTCGTAAAGGTTTTTTGCAGATAGCTCTTTGGCTTCAACAAGGTCACTAGGGATGTTGCTTCACATTCAATCAACTCTTTATTTTTTAGTATAATGACAATGCACTCTTCGAGACTTTTCTAGTTGCCTTGTCTCGATCCGGAAATGGACCAAATGGTTTAACTTCCAATAGGTTTGTATAATATTAGTTACAGCAACCTAATATTTAACTGGAAATTCTACAATTTATCCATGATCTTCTTCTTTTTTTTTTTTTTGTAATCCAAGCTTTTTGTCACAATTCTTTTATAGTTGGAAAGACATAATTACTCACTTTTTTCGTTAGTTGTATTTTATCTTTACAGAAATATGAATACAATGTATTTCCACTTCTCCTATATCTTTAAGAAAATATTGAGATAGTACAAAATGTGGAGATTTGTGAACCCCCTTGTTATAAACATGATATGATAATTTTTTAAAATAAAAAGTATTTAAAAATTGATGAGTGGCTGGAAAACCTTCTGTGGCGGTCGAATCTCACAATTAGAATCTAAGTGATTCTTTAGGGTTTGTAAAGTTCTGTGGAAAGCAAGCAAACACAAAGATCTCAAGAGAGTTTTTATTAGCTGTGAAGAAAGCTGTTACAAGAGTTTTTTGCTAATGAATTCCGATCCCCTTTTTGGGTGATAATGAGGGACTATATATAATACTTCTAAGTAAATGGGCCAGCTAATAAAATAGACCTGGTCCATTAAGCAATATATCTAATTTAGACCCATTATTCAATTAAGCCCATTTTGCTTATGAATTTAATATCATTTTGGGCCTAGATTCAGACTGGGCCTTGGTAGACTTACTTTGATTTCGTCAAGACGTTGTGGAGTTGATCTCATCGCCATATCGATCTCATAGGGGTGAAATCCGACCCCCACAGTTAGCCCCCCAGCTTGGCAGTATCGAGTTATGATGGTGCCGAGGTAAAAGTTGTTGAAATCTGAGATCGATATGTTNGACCGCGAAGTCGCAGGCGTGAACGTCTTATCATCAAACTCGGGAAGTTTCCGCTATTCCGTATTGAGTTGATGTCACCGTGTTTTCCTGGACTTCTCGTTGTTGCCCATTCTTTTACTTAGAAGCCTAACAAAGTTGATAGTCTTGTTTCGCTAGTGGGCCTTGAGTTAGCCCCCNAGCTTGGCNGTATCGAGTTAAGACGATGCCGAGGTAAAAGTTGTTGAAATCTGAAATTGATATGTTGGATGGTGAAGTTGCCAGGCGTGGACGTCTAGTCATCGAACTCCGGAAGTTTCTGTTATTCCGCGTTGAGCCGATGTCAGCGTGTTTTCATGGGCTTGTAATCTTTTTTTTTTTTTTTGGAAGACTGATAGAGTTGATGATCTTGATGCGTTAGTAGGCTTTGAAGGCCTGCTGGAAATTTTTTTGGAATTTTTCCAAAACCAAAGTGATTTTAGAAAATCTTTCAGGTATAAATAAGTCTGTTTCCTTGGTATTACTTTTTGGTCAATTCACCTTTTTCCATAAGCAAGTGGTAAAAAATCATCTTCCTCTTCTACCTCC